TATATATATATATATATATATATATATATATATATATATATATATATATAGGCTGCCAGTGGCTACTCTTGTAACGTTGTGGCTGTTTTAATACTGATATAATGCATGCTATAATAATGCTTTAAAGAAATTCCATATCCAGTTCTGACAATTGTAGGGGATTTCACATTCTCAGAAGTCCCACCCTATGAACATAGCATATAGAGCTGCTCCTTGGTTCTAAAGACCTTTCTAAGCTCTCTCTGCTGCAATTCAAATAATAAAAAAGTACATTAGGATTCCATTTTTCTAATCAAAAAGAGAGATCATATTAGTACAAAACTAAGAAATTAAAGACTTACTGAGGTGCTGAGGTGGATGCAATGGGTTGGAAGAGGCTCCCAAAATGTTTAAATCAGCATAAACTATTTCACCTGCCATGATAAGCACAGAAGAGGGAGAGCACGTACAGAAGAGAACGGAGTCTAAGAGCAGCCTCATTTATATATGAGCTAATGTATCCAAACTCAGGAAGTGTCTGTCATCTCTCTGAAGCTTTTGTACTTCATTTCCCCCTTGTGATTTGAGAAGTCCATGCACCAGGCTAATAAATTAATGCCTATGTGCTAGCAACCAGTCTGAGTTGTGCTTGAAAACACTCAGGACAGAAGAGCTGTTCTGCAGTAGGTTGTTTAGGATTTCAAAAGCACAATTATTTTTCAGTAGTACGAGTATGCTGAGCCCTGATGCATTCAGCATGGCTGCTCTGAAAATTCACATGGCAAGAAAGTTTACTTAAAGCATAAAAAAAGGGAAATAGTCAATTGGCATTCCCCTAGCCTTTCAGTGGAGCAGCCATCTTCAATGTACACCCTTCACTCTAGTTCTCTCTCTGTTGTTGGCACTCAACTTTTGTGTGAGTGAAAAACTTTTGCACGTGGTGGCTGAACTGCCTTCTCCAGGTGCAACCTCAGGGATTAAAGACTGCCATTCTCTCAGCATGTGCTGAATCCATTGGCTATGTCACCCGCCATCACCAGGACTGGTTTGATGAGAATGATGCTGAGATTCAGGGCCTGCTCGACCAGAAAAGAAAAGCTCATTGCATATGGCAAAATGACATATTACACCAGCAGAAGAAAGAGTCACACAGGCAACTCAAAGCTGAAGCCCAAAGGAAAATCCGTGGCATCAAAAATAAGTGGTGGTGAGAAAAGACCAAGGAGATTGAGCTTTATGCTGATAAACATGACATCAGGAGCTTTTTTCAGGCAATAAGGGTCATTTATGGTTGATGCTTCCATGGTCCCACACCACTTCGAACCCAAGACAGGGCGATGTATTTTTTAAGGACAGCGAATCCATCAAAGCCAGATGGAAGGAGCATTTTGAGTTACTCCAGAATTGTGAGTCAACTGTCTCTGATGCCACTATCAAATCTACACCTCAATAACATAAAAGAGAATCTATTGTTGACCCCCCTGCTCTTGAAGAAGTAACATGAGCCCTTATGCACACCAAGAACAACAAGGCAGCAGAACCAGATGGCATACCAGCTGAAGCCTACAAGTTTGGAGATGAAGAACTGGTAACGACGCTCCACAAACTTTTTCCTCATATCGGATATAATGAGAAGATTCCAGATGACTTGAGAATGGCCAACACTGTTACAATCTTTAAGAAAGGAGATCAGTCAGAGTGTGGAAATTATTGAGGCATTACCTTGTTATCTACAGCAGGGAAAATTCTTGCCCGTATCCTCTTAAACCGATTACTTCCCCTTGCTGAGGAAATATTGCTGGAATATCAGTGCGGTTTTAGACCATCCCATGGGACAACAGACATGATCTTTGTTGCCCGCCAATCTAGAAAAAGTCTCGTGAGCAAAATCAGGATCTGTGCATGGTCTTCATCGATTTGACAAAGGCCTTCAACTCGGTCAACTGTGAAGCTCTATCAAAGGTGCTGGCCAGATTTGGCTGCCCTCCAAAATTTATTAAGGTCCTAAGGTTTCTTCATGATCAGATGACTGCCACAGTTCTCTGTAATGGTCTTGAGATGGACCCTTTCATCATCGAAACTGGGATTAAGCAAGGATGCATTATTGACCCAACCCTGTTCTCCATTTATTTAGCAGTCATTTTGGTCCTCATTAAAGACCGCCTCCCCAAAGGAGTTGACATTCAATACAGAATGGATGGGTGACATTTTAATCTTTGATGTCTCTGATTGAAGTCTAAAGTCCTCAGGGCATCCATTAGTTATCTTCAGTATGTTGATGACTGTGCCGTCCTTTGCACACTGAGAATGACCTTCAGTCCATTTTTTTGCACAAGTTTACGGAAACCTAGGACTCTCACTCAATACTGAGAAGACTAAAGTGCTCTATCAGCCTGCTTCAGACCTTGCATGTGACCCACCACAAATCACTATCAAGGGACAGACTTTGGAGACAGTCGAGCACTTTTGCTACCTTGGTAGCCAACTCTCTCAAAATGCAAAAATCGACAGTGAGATCCAGCACAGGATCCAGTGTGCAAGTGCTTCCTTTGGGAAATTGCTCTGACATGTTTTCACGGACCGTTACCTACACAGGACACCAAGATACAGGTCTATAAGACAATTGTTATTCCTACACTCCTCTATGGATGCAAAACCTGGGTGACCTATTGACAGCACTTCAAGAGTCTGGAGAGGTACTACCAACAATGCTTCCGGAAGATCCTTCGCATCGAGTGGGAAGATCGCTGCACTAATGCCAGCATCCTCACTGAAGCCAATATCATCAGCATGGAAGCAATGATCCTCATGCACTAATTCTGCTGGGCTGGACATTGTGTGCGGATGCCAGACTCTTGCCTCCCAAAAGAAGTCCTCTACTCTCAGATGACCCATGGTCAGAGATCCCATGGTGTCAGAGGAAACGCTACAAAGACACACTGAAAGCGTATCTAAAGAAAACTGACGTGGACAACACAAGCTGGGAGGAGCAAGCCACCAACTGATCCCAATGGTGCCATATCCTCCATCAGGCAGTGGCCCGCTTTGAGGAGAAGCACCTTGCCCTCGAAGCTGAAAAGAGAGAGAGAGAGGGAAGAAAAAAGAAAATATTCTCCCAGCAGCCAACTGGCCTACCAGGAAATGTCTATACCTACTGTGGGCGGATCTGTGGTTCCAGGATAGGACTCCTGAGTCATCTCAGGACCTATATGGAAATTCATGGTAGAGCTCATCCTCGAATCAAGGGATCACCAATGATGATCATGATGAATATAATAATATTAATTTTCTCCTGGAAGTTATGGTTCTCTTGCCACAATATCAGAATGCATCACAAATATTAATGAATTGATCTTTGCAACACCCTTGAGAGGCAGAGTGGTATTATTATTATTCCTATTTTACAGATGGGGTATGAGGCAAAGGGAGATTAAGGTCGAAATTGTCAAAAGTGTACACTAATTTTGGGTGCTCAACTAGAGATGTCTATGACTTTTTTTTTCAGAATACTTAGCATTTTTCTACCACTTTATATGTTCAAAGCACAGCTCCTCCCCCAGCTTCAGTAACAGTCAAGAGTACTGAGTGTTCATCGCTTCTGCAAGACAGGCCCCTCTGTGTCTCATATTGGGCACCCAAAAAATGAGGAACACACAATTGGTGGCCACCAATGAAAAGTTTGGTTTAAATTACTTTCTTAGCATCACACAGGAATTCTGTGGCAGAGGCTGGGTTAGAATCCAATTTTTCAGGGCTGTAACCAACTGCATTAAACAAGGAGACCCGCCTTCTTCTACCTGCAATCCCCTGTTTCATTCGCTGTCACTACAAACATTCCTACTTCCTCAACAAATGAAGCAGGAGCTCTCCTGAACTGCACAACCCTGATTCATTCCCAGATCACCATGTATCCTGTGTACTGAATGAGGCAGGGGACCTGTGGAAATATAGTAGGTGATCACGTAATTAAATACAGTTACACAATGTAAGCACAAAGGGACAAAATTAAGGTTGCACAGGCAACCTTAATTCTAGCATTTCTTAATTGGAGTGCTTGATTTTCCAACCATAATATTCTATTAACAGAGCTTTTAAAAATGTAATACAGCTAGAGATTATTAGTGTTCTGTAGGGACTAGGAGACTGGGACCCTTATGACCTACCCTTTCACTGAAATACTTTAATGGAATGCAACAATATCATGCAATTCACCCTGCTTCCCTGGTAGGCAAATATTACCTCAAACTCTGGCTTGAAGTTTCTTTTCGTTAATGCTATATTTTCTGTCTGCTCCACTACCATAGTGGAAATTATCTATCACAGAAGCTTCAACAGTGACAGGATCCTGCCTAAGCAATGGTTTACTTTGTGCTTCTTTCCTGTGTGATCTCAGGTGTCAGACCGTGCTCTGCATTTCAGACTTGTGAAGGGCCTCTTCCCCTACACCTTCTTTATAATCACTGAAGGGGACCAAAATCCTACCACAGGGGAATTGAAAATTTTTTAGAGAACATATGCAAAAATAGACTGAGACCTATGTGCAAATATTCACAATATCCCAGTGATACAGATTCTCATGAGAGTGCTGTCCACATCCAAATATTCTACAGACTTGTGCTGTGTACTCTACACAGTTCTGCCAGCATACTTCAGTCACCGCACAAATCCCCAGCTAGTCCAGTCTTAAAACCATCATTAACATTTTATAGAAAAAAGTTACTTACCCTATACAGGAACTGGAGTTTGAGAGTTGTTGTCTATCTGTATATTCCACTCTTGGTGTGTCTGCACCTAATGTGCTTGAGACTGGGGTGTTTTGGCCAGCTGTGGGGCCACATGTGTGCCCTGGTTGCCCTCCTGCTCCTGTATCAAAGCTATAAAGGGCAGCATGGATCCAACTGCCACTCCACCACAGCATCCAGGTATGTAATAGGACTCTAAAGTAAGAGGGAAGGAGGACAAGTCATGGAATACACATATGGACAATACATCTTGACAAACTCCAACTACTCTCCAAGTAAGTAATTTCTCTCTTCAAGTACATGTCCATATGTATATTCCACTCTTGTCGACTCACAAACAAGCTGTTCCAGAACTTCACTCCTCTGATGGTTAGAAACTTTCATCTAATTTCAAGCCTAAATTTGTTGACTTGCCAGTTGATATCCATTTGTTCTTGTACTACCACTGGCCCTTCACTTAAATAGCACTGCTCTCTCCCAGGTGTTTATCCCTCTGACATATTTATAGAGAGCAATTATACCTCCCCTCAGTCTTTGTTTTGTTAGGCTAACCAAGCCAAGATCCTTAAGTCTCTTTTTGTAGGAGTTTCTCCATTCCTCTGATCATCCTAGCAGCCCTTCTCTGCACCTGTTCCAGTTTGAAATCATCTTTGTGAAACATGGGAGACCAGAACTGCACCCTTTACTCTGGATAAGGTCTCATCAGTGGCTCGTACGATGATAACACTTCCCAAGTTCCCTATCTCTACTAGAAATGCCTTGCCTGACATCCTAAGATTGAAGTGGCCTTTTTCACAGCTGCATCACATTGGCGGCTCAGTCATCCTATGATCCACCAACACTCCCAGGTCTTTCTCCTCCTCTGTTGCTTCCAACTGATAAGCCCCCGGCTTATTCTTGTTGCTAGTCCCTAAATGCATGACCTTGCACTATTAAATTTCATCCCATTTCTATTACTCCAGTTTTCAAGGTCACCCAACTCGTTATGATATTCCATTCCTCCTCCATATTGGCCATACTGCCCAACTTTGTGTCATTCGCAAATTTTATTAGCACACTCCCTCTCTGTGTGCCAAGGCCATTAATGAAAGTGTTAAAATTGGTACCAAGATGGATCCTTGAGGAACTCCACTAGTAACCTCCCTCCAGCCTGACAATTCACCCTTCAGTATGACCCAGGGTAGTCTCCCCTTTATCCAGTTCTGTACGCTCCTTTTGATTTTCATATTAATCCCCAGCTTCTCCAATTTAACTAATGATTTCCCATGTGGAATTGTATCAAATGCTTTACTGAACTCCAGGCAGATTAGATCACCTGCATTTTCTTTGTTTAGAACACTGGTTATCTTCTCAAAGACGGATCAGGTTGGTCTGGCTGTCTGGCACATCTATCTTTTGTAAAACCGTGTTGTATTTTATCCCAGTTGCCATTTACCTCTGTCTTAATTACTCTCCCAAAATTTGTTCTAACACCTTGCATATAATTGAGGTCAAACTAATGGGCCTTTAGTTTCCTGGCTTGCTTCTGCCCCTCTCTTAAATATAGGTGCTATATTTGTTCCTCGTTCCTCCTCCTTCTTCCTGCCTGGCAGCAGCAGCAAGAGGTAGAGTAGGAGGCTCAGCATTGTTAACCCGTCAGGTCCTCATGCTTGCTTGATAACCCAGGAGGACACACCCTAACAGTTTGAAAACCAAAGCTTTAAAATGAACAGCCCCACATATAGCTGGAAGCAACTGTGCATTTTTAAACAAAACCTTAAGCTCTTTGGAAACATTTTGAGCTAGCAGCAAGCGCTCTGGTTGCTTAGAGGCAGGCAGCAAAGAAATGTGCAATATTAGTGGTTAACAAGTGGTAACACAGGTAAGCATGGCCACACAGGCTTTTGGTAGTAGTACATAAACAAGTCTATTCCACTGAACTGACCAGTGTTAAGGTGTCTTTATAAAAAGGCAGCTGAGCTGAGGAGCTTGAGGTACTGCACAGTTGTATTGTTGACACCCTGCATTTCCGTTCGTTGAAAAGAAGTAAACCGCAGAAAGTTTTGCAGAGCTACATTTAAATGAATGGGTTTAATGCCCACTCAACTGGAAGTTACTGGATGAGAGAATAGATTTAGAGGGATATCAAGATGTTTAATCACATCAAGCCTATCTTGAGGCTATGTGGTCAGTTAAGGAATGCCTATAGAGTCTAAATCTCTGTACAATAAGTTCTCAGTATACAGTGCCCATTAAAGTAGTTGTATTACTGCATGGATATTGGCATGATTGGCAGCTGAGGAAAAAAAATAATCTAATTCCAGCCCTGCAGTTACCATATTGTTCTTCACATCTTTATCTAAAGTGTTGTGTAATGTTGCTGTATGTTAAACATTTCAGCCCAGAGACAATTGAAGTGATTGATGCTATACATTAGAGTGTCTAATCCTGCAGTCCTTATTTCAAGCAAAACTCAAAAATATAGGGCCAATTTTCAAAAGTCAGTTTACACAAAAACCTCAGACAAGATTGTGCATACAAAATCCTGACACGTTTAATAGCTAGGTTATAAGGTCACTTTGAACATTTTGCTTAAGTATAGTTTTCATTAACAAACTCTTTGCTTTAGTGGAAAACAAAACAAAAAAAGTTGAGATAGAACCCTTCCTAGGGAGCACAAAGAAATGTGTCTGAGAAGGGGGCCCAGAGGAGGAAACTGGGGAAGGAATAGTGAGGGTACAGGAATGTCTCCTCACTGGTCATTTAGGAGAGGATGCCCAGGACAGAATAGCTGAGTCAGCATCTGTACACCCAGGCACTCACCCTGTGAGCCAGGTTTTGAGAAGGAACTGTGTAACTGACCTCCTGGAGGGGAGCAGTCACACAGCTGACTTCTCAGGGACAGAGAAAGGGGTGGTGGAGGGTACCCCAATCCAGGTCCCAGTTTTTCAGGATGCTGTTTCTGATAAGTTTTTGGAGGGTAACTGCGTCTCTTCAAATCAAGATGCAGCTCCAATGCCTGTGATAACAGAGGAGTTGGGACCAGGAAATTGCCAGGTGGTAGTCTGCCAGAATACAAGTGACCCAACTGACAGAGAAGGGGGTGTTTTCCCCCAGGCTGGTGAGACACAGAGAGCAGTTATGGGAAAGCTGCTGGGAAAAGGTGAATCTGATCGAAGGGTAAACACACGTAACCCAGAGAGCACAGATCACAGCCCTCTAGGGAAAGGGGGCAGGGAAGGACTCAGTGCTGGGAGGGGGAAAACACAGTACAGTATGGAGATGTCACAATAAAAAGTTTCACCCCTGACAGACATTATTATACTGGCAAAAGTTTCTAGTGTAGACCTGGCCTTAGAAGGACAGCTAGCTAATGAACTATTAACATCACTACTCAAGGCACCCTGTTGTCACATTAGGGTTGGTCAGTAGTGGCATAGAAGATCTGCAATCCTGTTTTCCTCCAAGATCTTTAAATGCACATAAGTCCTCTATGCACATAAGTCCTCAATATATTTGGGTACGTCTATACCCAGCCGCTAGTTCGGCAGCTGGCAATTGAACTTCTCGGTTCGACTTATCGCGTCTTGTCTGGACGCGATAAGTCGAACCCGGAAGTGCTCGCCGTTGACTGCGGTACTCCAGCTCGGCGAGAGGAGTACCGCGGAGTCGACGGGGGAGCCTGCATGCCGCGTCTGGACCGAGGTAAGTTCGAACTAAGGTACTTCGAACTTCAGCTACGTTATTCACGTAGCTGAAGTTGCGTACCTTAGTTCGATTTGGGGGTTTAGTGTAGACCAAGCCTATATGCCTGCTTCTGTAATTTTCACTCCATCATCTGAAGAAGTGGTTTTTTTTTAACCCACAAAAGCTTATACTCAAATAAATCTGTTAGTCTTTAAGGTGCCACTGGACTCTGTTGTTATTGTGGCTACAGACTAACACGGCTACCACTCTGGTACATAAGTCCTCTAGTTGCTTTGAAGTTTCTGATTTGAAATAGTTATGCTTCTAACCCGCTTCTTACAGCTGAAGTGGAAGCGAGTCACTGACAAGGCTAAGAATCACAATCCTGAATATTAGAGATGGAAAATTATTGGGCCCTATCTAGTCCGAATGACAAGGGTAACACTTCCTAGCAAGCAAGTTTTTACCAGGTTAAGAACACTGGAATTAAAAGCATTTAGTACCTACACAAATAACCATTCAGATTCTAGGCATGCTGCATGTGATATCAGTTATAAATCTCTAGCCCAGTTCACTACAGTATACAACGCAATAGTGTTGATTGGATCTGGAGACATCCAACATGGTGGAAGTTAGCGTAGATGGACCCGCCCTGACCAACCCCTTCTCCCAACCCCAGGTCCCCCCAATGTCCTTGACTGATTGCCAGTAGTGTCCTAGGCCCCATTCCCCTATTTTCCCCTACTCAGCAGTCAGAGCAACCACCTAGATCCCAGATCTTGGTCTTGGCTCTACCCAGTTAAAGCCAAGAACCAGTTCCCCATCTCCCCTCCCCACTCACCATTTGGAAAGCTGCAGGTCAGTTCCATCTCCTGTCTCCACGATCCCCATGCTGCAGGTGTGAGGGTGTCACCAGCTGATGCGGGGCAGGGAAGAGATGAAGGAAGGCTTATCAGACCTTGAAGGCAGTCGCAGATACAAAGGAGAATTTGCGGGGAGACCCCAATCAGAGGTAACTGGATAGGACTAAAGTAGACTGGCACACTGCCTGCCCCAACTCTATAGGGTGACCATATTTTCCAAAGGGAAAATGGGACATCACATGGGGCTAGTCTGAGCATCCCCCACCCCCGGGGCTGGCCCAATCCGCACATATGAGCCCCCACCCCACAGAGCTTACCCAAGCCCTGCCCCCTTCCTCCCACCCTCAGGCTGAGACTGGCAGCAGGGCTGGCCTGAACCCTGCCTCCCCCACAAGGGTGGGGCTGGCATCACTGCTCATCTGAGCCCTGCCTGCCCCCCCGTGCAAGGCAGGGGCTGACATTGCTGCTCGCCCGAGCCCTGCCTGCCCACCATGTGAGGCTAGGGCTGGACTCGCTCCTGCACCGGACTGGAATCGCCGCTCATCCCCTTCCGCCGCAAGTTCCTCCTCACAGGGCCGGCTCCAGGCAACAGCACAGCAAGCAGGTGCTTGGGGCGGCCAACGGAAAAGCTTTCCCCCCCCCACACCGCTTGGGGTGGCAAAAACACTGGAGCCGGCCCTGCCTCCACACCCCACCTTTTTGACAAAAGTGGGCATTTGTCCTGTTTGCGCTTGCTAACTGATCAAGTTGGCAAGAACAAATGGGACAAATGCCCACTTTTGTGAAAACAGTCAGGACAGCCGGGACAGGGCTTAAAAAAGGGTCTGTCTCTGCCAAAACGGGACATACAGTCACCCTACAACTCTACCAAAACTTCCCCCTCCCTCTCCAGGCTCCTGCAATTTCCCTAACTAATCTGCCAGTCCCCACCCATGTAGCTGCCCCAGCACTAGAGCTGGTTGGAAATTTTCCAACAAAGTTTTTCAAATTAGAAAAACCAAAACTATTTACAGGAAAGGATTAGTTTTGACAAACCTCCTGATTTGAAAGAAATGTGAGAAAGTTTTGAAACTGAAGCGTCCTGTTGTGATGTTGTCAAAATGAAGTTTCATTTTTTGATTCAAAACAACTTTTCATTTTGAAATTTTATTTATAGTAAAAAAAGGTTAAAGGTCAAAAATCAAGTGTTTCAACTGACCTGAATATTTTTTCTCCTCCAGGTTCATGAAAATTTTTGGATTTTGACTTTTTGTCTCGATTCAGGATGGCAAGACTTCAAAGATTGTAGAATTCTCACAGGATGGGAAAACTGTTCCCTACCCTGCTCTATCTATCCAGTACTTCTGGAGCATTTCCCTTCAGCTAATCGCCGCTTCTCCGGGTACTGTGATACCCTGCACTAACTGATAGAACGGACACAAAACTTTTTTATTTGGTGAAAAATTTCAACACAACAACAATAAAAAAAAACCTTGTTTAAATCAAACTTTCAGGTTTTGATTGAAAATGGAAGAATTTGCAAGTTCTGGCAGCTGAATCATCAATATATTCTGGCTTTTAGACAAAAATGCAATACCGAGGTAAACTTAATTTTTTCCCCATTTTAGTTTTGATGAAAAAGACTTTTAACAAAAAAAGGCTCTAAATGAAAATTTCGACCAGCTCTGCTAACCAATCTACTGTTCACGCATTGCCAGAACCCCTTCTCAGTTGTTCAAATGTCTGTACCCAGGACCGGTGCAAGGATGTTTCGCGCCCAAGGCAAAACTTCCACCTTGCACCCTCTCCCCTCTCTGAGCCCTGCGGCAGCTCCCCGCCCTGAGGCATCCCCCCCATGGCAGCTCCCCCCCTTCCGCCCTGAGGCACACCCCCTGTGGCAACTCCCCCCTTTCCGCCCTGAGGCACACCCCCCGTGGCACGCTCCCCCCCCCCCAGCCCAGGGAGCCATGCGGCAGCTCCCCACCCTAGCTCACCTCTGCTCCGCCCCTCCCGAGCCCTGCAGCAGCTCCCCTCCCCCCCTGAGGCTCCTCCCCTGCGGCAGCTCCCCCCCTCCGCCCTGAGGCACCCCCCTCTGTGGCAGCTCCCCCATCCCCCGGCCTGGGGAGCCGTGCAGTAGCTCCCCACCCCAGCTCACCGCTGCTCCACCCCCTCCCCAAGCACGCCGTCGCTGCTCCACTTCTCCCGCCTCCCAGGCTTGCGGCGCCAATCAGCTGTTTGGTGCCACAAGCCTGGGAGGGAGACAAGCAGAGCGGGGCGGTGTGCTCAGGGGAGGAGGCGGAGCAGAGGTGAGCTGGGGAGCGGGTCCCCTGTGTGCAACCCCCCCGTTACTTGCTGCAGGCGGCCGTCCCCGCAAACCCCTGCCCCAGCTCACCTCCACTCCACCACCACCTAGTTTGCCTAGTGGTTGCACCAGCGCTGTCTGTACCTCCTTAGTAATTCCCCTGAGTCTCCAAGAGCCTCCCATTCCTACCCCCTACTCCTCTTTCTGTTTCCCATTCACAGTCACACTCTTGCTCTTCCAGAATCTTCCATCCCTACAAACACACCCCTGACTGACTGCCCAAAACTAAGAGCCCAGAGCTTCCTTCCCACCCCCCTGTGCTATTCCTCACTAACTGCCAGTCTAGTCTCTATCCCACCCCCATCCCACCACCACCTCCTGCAACTGCCCTGGCAGAACCTTCTAGCCCCCGACTCCACAATCCCTGATTAACTAACTGCCAGGCTCTGCCCCCCACCCCCAACAAAACCAAGCTCTTCCAGAACCTTCCATCTCTATACTCCTGATGGCCATTCAGTCTGTGCTTCACTAATAAAACCCATTACTTCTAAAAGCTGTCCTCCACACACCATCCCTGACCTGCCGCCCTGCTAGTCTGTCCTCTGCCCCCATCTTATTAACTGCCCCAGCCCTGCCAAAATCTTCCCCACTCCCCTCCACAGCCCCGGTGATATCCCTAACTGCCAATCAATTCCCCTCCACCTTCAGGCCCCCATCCCACGAGCCTAGCTCTGTCACAAACTTTCCTCCACTGTCCTCACCACTGACTTACTGCCAGTATCTCCCCCCCACCCACATCACAAACAGAACTCGGCACTTTCAGAACCTTCCTTCTCTCCATATGCCTGGCTGACAGTCGGCTCTTCACAAATGGAAGTTACTTTTACAGAAACTTCCATCCAGCCATTATGAACTCGAGTGCAAGTCTGTGTCTCAGACAGAGCCCCGCTCTTCCAGACCCTCCCCTCACATTCCTGACTAACTGCCAGTCTGTCCCCCACAGACAGAGCCCCGCTCTTCCAGACCCTCCCCTCACATTCCTGACTAACTGCCAGTCTGTCCCCCACAGACAGAGCCCCGCTCTTCGCGGGCCCTCCCCTCACATTCCTGACTAA